CCCCCTCACGTTTTCTGGGGGCAGCACCCCCTCGTCTGCGCGTCACGACCCCCTCGTCCACGCGACACGGCAGCTCCGCTGCGTCCCAGACACGAGCGTGGCCTTCCCACGCCTCCCGTTCGCAGTGGCGGCTGCTGGGCCTTCTGAGCGAGAGGAGGCGGCGCGCGCGATCCCCACGGGCCGGACCCTCTGCCTGTGGCCGCATCACCTGCCGCCGCCGTCGGCACCGGGTCTGCGGGGCGCGGCCCTGGTCCCAGCGCGTCGCTGGAGAGCGCTCGCCGCCGCCGCTGTCCGAGGTGGGACGCGGGTGGGACGGCTTCTCGGCTTCTCACCGAGGACCCCTGTGGAAGGACACGGCGACCCGCATCTCGGAGGGGAGGGCGTCGGGACGTGGTGGTAAAAGGTGACGACAGGCCCAGATGGAGTCGCTGGTGCTGCGTCCAGGCCACCTGGCCCCTGAACACCTGCCCCGACCGCCGGCCCTGCAGTGTCCGGCTCAGCCTTCTCCGAAGGCCCAGTCCTCCCCCTAAGGACGGCCGGCCCAGGCCCGAGACCCTCCATCTGCCGTGGAAGTTTCCCTCCGCCTCCCCGGGGAACGAAACCTCCCCTTCCTGCGGCTCGGAGGCGCTCTTTCCACTCTCCGGCTGAGCTGTCGACGTGAAGACGTGAGTCAAGACCAGTCACTTTGATGGGAGAGGGGCGTCGACCCCTGCATGACCTGAAGGCGCTGGGGAAGGGACAGAAAGAACCGAGTGAAGAGCGAGGGCCCCGAGGACAGAGTGCAGGGGACTCCCCACAGAGGGAAGGTGTTACAACGCGGAGGAGAAAGTATTTGAAAACAATAGAGATGCGTTTTCCAGAGTTGAAGAAAATACACTCAGATCGAAAGGGCTCACAGCCTCCAATAGGAGAGGTAGAGAAATCTACACTGTTGGAAAGTTCTAGAAACATCCCCAAAGAGCATGTCATAAGAACCAGATGGATGGTGAAGGCTGGACTTTTGTGCAAACTACAAGGAGACCACAAAGTAATGCTTTTTAAGTGTTGGAGGAAACACAATTTCCATGGAGAATCTTACTTACATCCAGCTGAGTCAAAAGTATAATAAAAGTATCCTTGAGAATACCGGGCTTTAGAAGGCTTTGCCACATTAATGATACTTTGTATTTCATAAGTAACACAATGCAGGAGAAGCTCCAAGAAGCACGGAAAACGAGGATGATATTATCTTGGAATGCGTACTAATTGTCTTAAACAAGAAAAGGAAAAGGTAATATCCCCAATAGCTTGGCGCTGTGATTCCGGACAATATCGGCAGTGCCGGGGAGCAAGGGCTGTGTCCAAGCTGAGGTACTTCACTGTCAGGGGACGACGCAGCCACAGGGGTACACGGGGCAAACAAAGGAAAGGGGTTCTCGCCCTGGCCAGTGACACTCAGTGGACTAAGTTCCAGACCGTGAACCAGAAGGCCGCTGGTTCGATTCCTGGTCAGGACACATGCCTGGGTTGCGGGGCCAGGTCCCTGATAGGGGGTGAACAAGAGGTAACCACACATCATGTTTCTTTCCTTCTCTTTCTCCCTCCCTTCCCCTCTCTCTAAAAATAAATAAGTAAAATCTTTTTAAAAAGAAAAAGGGTCTTAAATCAAGGGCAGTAGACACAGAATAGAAATAATAAAGGTAAGCCAGCAGAAGAAAACTCACTATACTCCCTGAGAAATAGGAAAAGTTATACAGTGAATGCAGATTTTTAAAAAAGATTTTATTTCTTTATCTTTAGAGAGGAAGGGAAGGAGAGAAGGAGAGAAACATCAATGTGTGGTTGCCTCTCGTGAGTCCCCTGCCGGGAACTGGCCTGCAACCCAGGCATGTGCCCTGACTGGGAATCGAACAGAGATCGTGTGGTTCGCAGGCCCGCGCTCAATCCACTGAGCTATGCCAACCAGGGCTTGAATGCAAATTTTTAATAAGATGGCCAAGCTAATTCTCTATATAACTAATTACTATAAATGTAAGTAAATTAAATTCCAATTAAAAGGTACAAACAGATTACATTTAAAGACTTCAACAGTGGGTTGCTTAAAAGAGATATACTTATGAAAAGATACGAAGTTTAGAACAAAAGAGTTGGCAAAAGACATATGAGACCAATAATGAACCAGAGGAAACTGGGTTGACATCTTAATATATAACATTCAAAATTGAGGCCAAAAAAAAATTAGAAAAAACCCAGCAACGAAGAAGCCCACCCCAGCAGGCTGATGGACAGGCCGCGCCCCTCGGAATCATTCTGATGCCTCAGTGAGCGTACATCACGGCAGCCTGAACCGCAGGGAGAAAAGACACTACGGCCATTGTAACTGGAGAATTTAAGTTAAAAACAACAACTCGATAGCTGGAGTAGACAAAAGTAGCAGGATCTCCAGTCCTGGGTGTTGGATGGGTGCAGAACTCTGTATCCATCAAACGATGTTTGCAGGCCACGAGACTGGCCCTAAAGAAGCTTCAGTTTATTCCTGGGGCAGAATTCCGTGTGGACTGAGTGGCTGCCTGGTTTGTGCTTCTAAGCCCCCTTTGCCCCAGGTCCCAGAGACCACCCCAAAGGGACTTGGTCATGGTGCCCAACTTCGGGCAAAAGGGGCACTACCGTGTCCTGGAAGGAGGGAGAGTGAGGGCCGGGGGTGTGCTGCCTGCACCCCCAGCTGAGGCCTCTGCTGCCCCCAGGGCCACTCCCTCCCCCCCCACCCCCCAGGCCACAGCGCCACTCAGCAGCGGTTCCCTGCCTGCTCCCCACACGTCAGTGCAGTCCCATTATCAACACATGTGGAACTAGTGGGTTTGAGTGTGCCGTCTGCTTTCTGCCAGGATCCTGGCGGAGCACAGAACTTGCTCTCAAACAAGAGCCCAATTAAATTAGAAAGTGTCAACAAAAGGTTATAATAAAAGAAACTCCATTGGAAAGTCAATAACATCATAAATGACCCGTGGGTTAAAAGGAGGTTACCAGGGACATTAAGAAATGTTCACATCTGAATGATAATGAAAGCCTGGGGCGCCCCAGTTGTGGGACTCACAGGTAGTGAGTCCAGCCAGGTAGGGCTGTGGAAGGGGTTTTGTAGCTTTGAATAGACCCGTCGGAAAATGAGAAGGTTTAGAAATAAATGAGATAAGCCTTTAGCCCACGTGGGAGCAACAGATCCAATCCCAAGAACCTAGAGAGAAGGAAACACTGTGACAGGCAAGGACAGAAACAAATGGGGTGCAGGGAAAGGTGAGAATACCAACCAAACTAAAAGTTGGTTCTTTGAACATGTTTTACAATGTTACAAAAGAGAAATGCAGCCCTGGCTGGTGTGGCTCCGTGGATTGAGCGCCTGGCAGCGAATTGAAAACTCACTGGTTCGATTCCCAGCCAGGGCACGTGCCTGAGTTCTGGGCCAGGTCCCCACGCCCAGGGGCTGGGGGTGCAGGAGACAACAGACTGATGTTTCTCTCCCTCTCTTTCTCCCTCCCTTCCCCTCTTTCTAAACATAAATAAAAATAAAATCTTAAATAAAGAAAAATGCAAGTAAAATAGCACATGAAAAAGAATAAATAAGCACAGAACCAATAGATATATATGCTAACATTTTAAAAACCACAATGAAATGGATTAATTATTAAAAGTATGTAAAATGACCATTTTGGCTCAAGGAGAGAACTTGACCGGAGTCAATGAGTACAATATAAATGGAAATGAGAAATCCTCCTCCCCACCCCCCGGGGCCCGGATAGCTTGTTTCCATTAAAAAGCTTGGAGCAAAACTAATTTCTCCTTTCTGCAGCTGGGGGTTTGGAGGGCACGGCGGCGGCGGGCCGTCTCCTTTGCTGACGGTCCTTTCGCGGCTCCAGCCACACAGATGCTGCAAACTGGGGCGGCGCGCCTCCTGCCTCCGGGGCCGTGTGAGGATGAGGTCCTCACTCCAGCAAGGCCCTCAGGGCGGCGCCGGGTGGGGGCTTAGCCCCGGGATGCTGAGGACGCAGGCGGCTGGCGCAGGGATGGAAAGCGACGGCCCGGCTTCAAGGTGGCATGACGTCACCGCCCCCACCGCAGTTCCGGTGGCTGAGCCGGCGGAGGCTTTTGTCAAAGTTGCCCGGCGCGGGTGGAGGTTGGTGGCGCGCACTGGGCTGCCAGTCTGTCCCTGGTGGCCCGAGGAGGGGCTGGCGAGGGACGACGGCCGGGTTTGCCAGTGGGGACCCAGAGCGGCGTGTCTCGTGGTGGCCCCGGGATGTCAGGCTGCGGGGCCGGGGCGCGAGCACGGCGGGAGCTGAGGACCCGGAGAGGCGGGCGGGCGGGGGCGCGGTCTCCCGGCTGCTGCCCCGCGGAGCCGGCGGCGAGCCCGCAGGCCGGAGGGTTGCATCGTCCGGCCCGGAGGGCTGTCCCCGAGGCTCTGGTCCGGCCCAGTGTTCTGACCCAACTCACTTGTCACACTCGAGTCTGCGTTCCCGTCCCGCCCCTACTGCCGCTCCCTCGTGAAAGGAGCCCCCCTCCCAGCTTTGTCCCTTCGAGAGGACGCGTTTGTGCTGCTGACCTCTCGGGGGCAGGTAGAGGTTTGCAAGAGAATAGGGTCAGATTCCGGAGGGCCCGGCGCGGGGTCAACGGGCAGGTTCGGTTGGGTGGGGGGCCTCGGGGGTTCGGCGCCGCCGGGTCCCTGTTCTCGGCCAGGTCGCACGGGAGCGCGGGGGCCGCCGCAGGGAAAGGGGCGTCCTGTCCAAGCCTGGGGGTCAGTCCGCCACCTCTGCATCCAGCGCGTTGCGGCGTCAGCGGTGATGTCACGGCCGGGACCCAGCCCCCTTTGGCTCCAGCTCCAGCCCCATCCCCGCGGCGTCCGCGACGCCCGTCCCTCTCCCCGCGCGACAAACCAGCGGGCGCTGGACTCGAGCGCCGCGCGCAGCCAACCAGCGCGGCGGGAGGGGCGCGGGGCGGGGCAGGGGGCGCGCAGCCCGTCACGCGGGGCCGCCCTCACACCGCCCAGTGCAGCCCCGGAGCAGCAGCAGCTCGGTGCTCAGGGACCCGAGCCCGGCTCGCGCCCATGCGGGGACGCCTCCAGTGACGCGGGAGAGGTAAGGCCGCCGCCCGCCCGGCCTCCTCTGCGCCAGGCATCCCGCATCCTGCACCTGCCCGGACTGCGCCCGGGCGGGGAGCTCGCACCCCGCGCCCGCGTCCTAGTCCAGGCCTGGGCCGCTGGCGCCGCGCGGCGCCAGCCCTTCCCCCACCCTCCTCCGTCCCCGCGGATAACAATGGGGCAAATTCAGGGGTGTCCGCCCTTCATTCCAGCCGGGCAGGGCCCTCTGGAAAGGCCCCTTCGCTGCGGGCCCTGCTGCGGCGGCGGTGCTCTCCTCTTGGATGGGCGGGGGTCGCCAGGGGCGGACGAGCGCCGCCAGGGACATCTCGAGACACCCCGAGACCCTCCCTGGCTCTGCCCCTCCTGGAAAGGAGCCACGGAGCAGGGATGCGGCGCGGCCTGAGCCTGGACCGGCGGGGAGGGGTGGGGGGTGCGGGAGGGGCGGAGAGGACCGGAGAGGACGAGAGGACTCGGCAGGGGGCAGCGGGGAGGGCGCGGCTGCAGCGGCCGGGCCCGGGGGAAGGGCACCCAGGGCGCGGGGCGCGAGTGGCTGCCCTGGTCCCCGGGGTGGGGGAGGGCAGATGTTGGATCGAGAGCAAAACACGCGGGCGGGGCGCGCGGGGGCTGCGGCGGGGACCAGGCTGCTGGCTTCGTGCGCACATCGGGGGCTGCCCGTCACCCCCACCCCAGTCGTGTCCTCTTCCCAAGAGACCCCAACTGCTTTCCAGAAAGATCAACCGCTGGGAGGGGCCACCCGCGGACAAGGCCTGCGTCTCCGCGGCCAGCGCCCCAGTAACAGGTGTGGCCTGGCAGCGGGCGAGGAGGGGGCCGCAGGGCACGTCTCGGCCGCCGCGCTCCGCAGGCACCGGGCTCGGCTGTCAGGGGGGCAGAGCGCAGGGAAGACCTTTGTCCTCCCTCTTCAAGCTGCCCCCCACTTTCACTCTCCCGGGGGGTCTGGGGGGTTCGCAGTCGGCGGGGCTCTGGGTGGGCGGCGGTGGGGGGCGGCGGGCCGCAGGGCCGGGGGGGGAGGGGAAGAGGGAACCGCCAAGTCATGGGCCTGCGGGGCGCGGGCGCGACGTCACCCGGCGCGGACCCGATGCGCGCCCACGGCCCCAGGAATAGGGATATTCCCCCGGAGACGGTGGGCCCCTCCCCAAACGGCCGGCGCCGGGGGGTGCCCGCGATGTGGGATTTGAGGGCCCTTGGGGCTATCGGGTTGGATCTGCGGGCGGCAGGGGGGTCGGCGGCGCCGTTACCCGGTCTTAACCCCTGGGGGCTCAGGCGCAGGAGCCACATCCGACCTGTCCTCTCCGCCCTGCTCCCGGCTGGCGAAGGGGCCGCCTCGCCCGTCAGCCTCGCGTCTGAGAAGGCAGCTTCTGGTCTGAAGAGAAACCACGGGGTCCAGCGTGGGGGGTTGGGGCTGCACCTGGCGGCCATTTTGCAGGTGTGGCAGTGGGACGAGGGTGGTCAGGTTCGGAGCAGGTGCGCCTGCGGCGGGTGCCGCGTCTGCCGTGCAGGTGAGCATCTGATGGGATGGGTGTCCTGGTTGGCGTGAGGCCACGGGCAGTGAGGCCGGGATCCCGTCCAGTGCAGTCAGGGCCCCGGCCCCAAGGCTGCCAGGGAGAACCTGCAGAGAGGTGTGTCTGGGGCCAGCTGCCTGCCCCCCCCCAACCCCAGACGCCTCTGGGGGCCTCCCGCTGCAGCTGCACCCCCGCCAGGCGGGAGACAGGTTCTGCCCAAAGCCCAGAGCTGGTGCTGGCTGAGCTGGGCCTCATACCCAGATGTGCTGGGCGGAGTGGTCCAGACATCCAGCCTTGTCCCCTCCCCTCCTCCTTGATGTCACCTGTGCTGGCCTCGGCTGACCATATCCTGTGGGGACAGAGCAGGGAGGTCTCCCGTGGGCTCTGGGGAAGGCGGGACGGGGTGGGGGAGGCGGAGATGGTGAAGGATGGAGGGGCCTTTGCAGGCCACTGGGCCCTCAGAGGCCAGCAGGGGACGGGAGGAGCTGGGCGTGGCAGGTGGGGGTGTTCTGGAGGGGCCCTGGGACCGCAGCTCGGGGCTTGGGGGCTGTGGGAGGCTGCCAGCATGGGAACCATGCCCCGGCCTTTAGGAGCAGCTGACCAGGGCCCGTGCCCAGGTGACCCTGTGCTTCTGAGAGCCAAGAGGGTGTGAGCTGCTGGCCCTGGGGTGCAGAGTGGCCGGTCAGGGGTCCATCAGCAGCCAGTGATCACCCAGGACGAGCGTACGCTTGTCCTCCTGCCCAGCCCTCTTAGTGCACTTAGCCCAGGACAGGGCTCACCATCCCGGCGGCCACAGAGAACCTACTGTGTCACCTCCACTATCCCTGTGTCCCTTTCATGCCCTGGAGCATCTCAGAACTCTTGGGGCTGGACCACAGCCAGGCTGGTGGGCAGTAAAGTCTTCTACTTCTGTCCCTTAGTTGACCACCTGTGCCCACCTGGTCCCCCTGCTGCCCACAGGGCCTGGGGCTGGGGCAGGACGCCCCGTGGGGCCGTGCCTCACCGCCCCGCCTGGCCTAGCAGGGTTCCTGCTGGACTCATGACCACGGCAGGGTCATGCTCAGTCCTGATCCTGGCCACGGGCCGAGGGGCGCCGGCTGACCCTGTACCCCCAGAGCCCCCAGCTCAGAGCCCCTAGCCCAATGAAGGAGCCACTGCCTCGGGGTCATCGGAAGGGTGCAGGGCGTGTTTGGAGCCAGCTGCCGGCTGGGGCCAAGCCTCTGACCCCTCCCAGGCCCTTGTGGGGCCTCAGCCCCCCAGCATCCCTCGCACCCGCGTCCTCCCTGGCTTCCCCGGCTCTGCCTGTGGAGCTGAAGCTGAGCCCCGTGCAGCCGGTAGGTCACCTCCATCTGGACCCTCTGCCTGGGTGGTGGGGGCCCCTCTGCAGCTCAGCCTGCCTTCAACCCCCGAACCCCCGGCTCCGTGGAGTGGGGACGTGTCCTTACTCCACCCCCCGGGGTCTGAGGAAGGCAGGCTTGGACCCCACCTGCCGGTCCCCTGTTCTCAGTCCTCACCCTGTCCCACGTGGCCCTGGGGGTGAGACAGCTACCCCCGCACACTCACACACCTGCACACTCACCTCACTGCACGCTCATCGCCACACTCGCACACAGTTTGCAGCAGCTGTGTTCCCTCAAAGGCGGCCGCTACCCTGAAGCCCCTGTGAGCACCCCCAGGGCGTCCCCCCCACTGCAGGATGTGGGTGGGCAGGAAGGGCGTGGGCGTTTATTGGGTGCAACCTGCAGTGTTCACGACATGTGTGCCCCTCGTCTGCTGCCCCTCGAGACCCTGAGAGGTAGGCGGGGGTGTCCCATCTTCCGGGCTCGGAGACTGCGGCTCCCGAGAAGGGTGCGCCTTGCCTGGGAGGATCTGGGACTTGCCCAGCTTCCCCTGCCTCCCAGTCTTCTGTCCCCCTCTCCGCACCCCTCTGCAGCCATCGCCCGCCCCTCGGCCCTGCCAGCACAGGCCTGCCCAGCGCTCGTTCTGCCCAGCACACGCCGCTAAATGCCGCTCCAGGTGGAGCCCAGGAAGCTTTGGTGGACTCGGTTCACCTCCCGAGGGCCCAGCTGTCACCGCAGCAGGGGTGGGGCCCTCTGTGCGTCTCCATTCAGGGCCTGAGGGGTCCTGAGGCCGCTGCCTCCCTTTCTCGAGGTCTTCTGAGGCAGTTCTTGGTTTTGGAGGTGAAGTGGCCCCAGCCACTCCTGTAGGTCCCGCTCCCCTTGAGCCCACCCTCTGGCCTTCCCTCAGAGGCAGGCGGTGACATCCAGGACTGCCCCGGAGGGGTGGGGGCGTCCTGGGTCCCGCCACTGGGCCTCAGTTTGTTTCTCCACCTGTCATCAGCTCAGGCCAGGCTGGTGTGTGGCTGGGCAGGACCGTGAATGCCCGAGGCCATGGGGCTGAGGCAAGGGGGTCACTGAGCTGCTTAGTGTCATTCTCCACCCGCTCCTGGGGCCAGGGCCACACTGTGGGCACGGACCCTGGTGCTCGGGAGGATAAGCAGGGTGCAGGAGACCAGACCCAGACCAGAGGGGGACCCTCGGGGCCGCATCCTCCCTTTTGCTCCGGCTTCACACTGAGGCAGGACATTTTCGGCGTTTTCTTTCCCTGGATCTGAGCTGTCTTTTTCGTCCATTGAATGCACTTCCTCTGTCCTCACCTTCCCCAGCTCTCTGACACACTGTCTCCCTGCCCCCCACCCCTGGAAGCCAGCTCATCCTGGGTTGGAGTCTGTGTCTCGGACCCCAGGGCTGCTTCTTTCTTGGTTTCCGGTCTCGTGTTGCTGGAACACATCCTGGTTGACTTTCTAGAATGGCCGGGTGAGAACGTCTCTGCTCTGTCCCCTGCTGGGCGGAGGTTAGGTTGGCTGGAAGCTGCTTCTGGTAAACCCTCTACCTCAGAAGGCTGGAGGCGTCGTCAGCACCGACGGCCTCGCGGTGCTTCTGGGAGGCCTCTGCCAGCAACTGGCCTCTCAGGGGCCTCCTGTCCGTGGGCTTCCTGCTGTGGGTGCCTCCGCCTGTTCCTCTGCTGGCGCTGGCCCAGCCCTTCCGTCCCGGGATGGGCTCTGCTCTTCCGCAGGCCCCTCCACCCCTCCCTGCTCATCCTCTCTGTTCTCTCCCCCGAATCCGGCCTTGGTCGTCTGTGTCCCTGCCCGTCCTTCACGGAGTCATTCCATCTCCTTGTTTCTGTTCTAGGCTCTGGATCCTTCCTGGCCTTCATTTTCAAGGTGGGTTTTTTGTGTTTGGAATTCTATGCTCAGCATCCACATCTCACCTCCGAGAGCTCCGGCTCCCTTGTCCTGAGCCAGGCCCGTCTCTGCATCCTCCGCTTGTTTTGAAAATGGAGCGTCCTCTGGCAGCATCGCGAGGGCGGCCATCAAGCTTTGGGGTTCACTTGCTTGTTTTTGTGTCTCTTCCCTGGTCTCTCTCTCCTTCCCTCCTGGGCTCGAGTGCCGCCTGCTCCTGCACTTGGGGGCCTGGTG